TAAATAAAAAAAATCTGTTTGGGTTTATGAAAGAATTGGTGCGTAAATAAAGAGAAAATTTAAGAAAATTTTTCTGATTTTTTTATAATTCTACCCAGCTCAAAGAGCTCTTTCGAATAGTGTTGGTCACGGTACCGTATTACCGCGGTATTTTTACCGAAATACCGATACCGAATACGGTACCGCAGTTTTTAAAAAATCGGTATTTTTTAGGTATCGGTATTTTACCGAAATACCGATACCGCCTCAATCAAAATACCGCGGTATTTTTCTGTATTTCGGTATTTTACCGAAATACCGATTACCGATACCGAAAAATCGTGTTTGCCTAACACTACTTTCGAATGATATGTCCTAAATTATAAATCAAGCAAAAAAGCTCAAAATGGTCAAAATTTATAAAAAGGTGGGGGGTCTAAAGCGAAGAATCACCCCTAATTCCCCACTTTCCCGCATTTCGGGGGGGGGGGGCGGCTACGCCCTTGCCTCCCTTCATAAGCATAAAATTGTCAAACCAACCAAAAATCGATTTTCTCTTGCAGTTTCGATCAATTCCGGATGATTGTATCCAAGCGGGAGAGAAGATATTTGGGTATAAACATCCTACAAATTTCTCAAACAATTTATAAGAAAAATTTAAAAAATCGTACCAACAAATTATTTCCATCTGCATCCACCAAATAATTTCCAAAAGATTTTTCATAATCCGCAAAAAATTTGACTGAAGTTGCTTGCTAAAATAACGACTTTTTATGGCTAAAAATAACAAAAAAATACATGTATCGTCTCCATTTCGTTTATAAGTTTTTTACTTTCAGGTCCAGGCACTTCGGTTCGCATAAGCGGAGCTTTAGGTTCTGATGTTGGAAGAGAACATATGTAACGACGAAGAGCTGAAAAAATACTTTTTTAAATGAGGGGAGAATTTCTTTGCGACCCCAACCAGAAAAAGTTGTTCTGTAACTCCTACCCAAAAATGAAATTAATAGAATCATTTTAGTAGCCAACTAAGTTCGCATAAGCGGAACGAAGAGCTGGAAACATCCGCGTGAAAAGAAAAAATAAGGGTGACCCTCAAATTAATAATTCAAAAAAAAATCCTATTTGCCCACCAACTTACTATTAAAAAATTATATTTAAAAATTTAACTAACCTCCATTTAATCCACTTCTCGACAGCATAATAAAAATATCTAAAAAAAATTATTATTTTAAAAAATTTAACTCATAAAAAAATGATAAAAAGGAAAAAACCGTTCAAAAAACGAAGAAAATAAAATTTAGAAAAATTATTTATTTAACAAAACAAATTCGAAAAAATAAATATAAAAAATTATTTTTGAGCAATAAAAATAACAACAAAATTCTTCTCTTAATATAATGCGTCCCCTCATTGATTACTCTTGCCTATAAAAAATTGTAAACAAATTATTTGTAAATAAAAAAAGGAAAGAGTAAGGCAAAACTTGGGTTGTTGTGAGTAGAGGTTCTTTTTTTATTAGAAAAAAATAGCCCATCCCTTCCCTATCAATCTCCCTTCTTCATTTTATTAGTAACCGGACTGGGAGGTCATACGAAAATTTGGAAAGATATCTTCAAAAAGCATTGATCCTCACAACCGAGATTGATTTTTGTTCAAAATCCCGTCTCGGTATGATCCCTAATTTTTATACGATATCTCATAAAAAGATTGATCTCCACAACCGAGATTCTTGTTCAAGATCTCGACTCGGTACGATCCTTGATTTTTACTATATTCATTAAAATAACCAAATTTCAGAAAATTTTTCTTCTCTTTTTTTGTTTCTCTTAAGCTCTCAAATGTAACAATATCCCTCCACAGAAAATTTTAAAAATCCTATTTCAAAATTGCCTCACCCTTTGTTAGAAAAAATACAAAAATATTTTTAAAAAATATCTTGATTAAATTTTTATTTCTTTGTTTTCAAGAAATCTTTATTTTCCCAAAAATTTTTTAATAAAAAATTCAATCAAGATTCAATTCATCGCAAAAATCACGTTTCAAATTCTTTCCATTTTCAACAAATTGTTGAGCAGATAAAATTATATCATCATGAGAAATATTTATATTATTGATCAGTTGACTAGAAAAAAAATTTTTTTTTCAAAATTTTCAAAAAGATTTTCAAAAATTCTCAAAAAAGAAATAAAGGAAATTTTCAAAAAAATTTCAGAAAATTTTTTTAAAAATTAAAAAAAAATTTTTGTCAAAAATAAAATCACTTACCCATCTTTCCTCTCAACCAAATTTTTAGCAACATCTCTGTATTTAGCCAAACAAGCATGCCTTACAATTTCTTTCAAGTCAGAACCACTCATTCCATCTGTTGATGTTGCTACTTTTTTATAATCAAAATCCTCTGTTACATTTTCATTTTTAAGTAATACTTTTAGAATTTCTTCACGTTTGATTACATCTTGAAATTAAAAAAAAATAATAAACAAAAGTCCATTTACCATTTGGTAATACTGAGTTCCGTGCCCCCACCCCCTTTTTCTAATTTTCCATTTAAATGTACGTAATGGTCAGACTTCCTTTCTCAACTTTACTCGTTTTCCTTGTGGTTTTTTAAAATGATTTTTGACATCAGGTTCTCCTTGTATCTTTTCTTAAATTTTGATTGACTGGCACAAGAGAAATCGAGTTAAATTGAAAGTCTGACCATTATGCACAATCTAAGAAGAAAAGGGAAGGGCAAGAAACTCGTTATTACCAAAAATCCTCCCAAAAATTTTTTTAGAAAACCTGGCTTTGGAACATTTAATCTAAAAGGTAAACGCCTCAAAACGGCAGAATCCAAATCTTCTGGACGATTAGTTGCACCAATTATAATAACAGAATTAACAGATTGCGCAAATCCATCCCATAAGGCCATAAATTGTGTTTTCATAACTGCTGTAGCTTCGTGGTCATTTCTTGAACGGAAACGAAGAACAGAATCTTTAAAAAATAAATTTAAAATTAATCCAAAAAATAAACAAAAAATACCAATCTCGTCGATAAAAACAATACAAGGTTGAATTTTCTGACACTGAAAAATTAAAAAAAAATTTAAAAAAAATTAAAATAGCAAAGAAAGAATTAATTTGTGAGCTAAAATAAATAAAGGACCTACAGTGTGTTAAGAAATTATAACCCCCCTTGAATTTTTTGAGTTTCTTACCTTCCCGATGTCGGATTGTTCTGAAATTTCTGTAGTAGTGTTGTAATGTATATTAAATAATATTTACAAAATATCTTTAAAAATTTCTGATCTCAGACTTTTTTTTGGACGTTTTTCCGAAAAATCAGTGTTAATAAATTATAACCCCCCTTTAAAAAAATTTTTTTAACGCATGGAATATCTCTACAAAAATTTTACTGAACATATCTACCAATATAGATAAGAAATACAAAAGAAATTAAGTTCCTATGTATTCCCATCATCGAGATCTCGAAATCCGAAAATCAACGGAAAACCGAGGTAGACGTCTTTAAAAAATACTTTCGACCCCTTACAGGCGAAATAAAAATTTTATTTTAGGCTTATCTGAAAGCCCTTTAAATTTGGTACAAGATAGCATTAATTTTATTTTTAGAATAAAAATTCGCCTATAAGAAACTATAAGTTTAATTTATAGGTTAAATTTCCATCAATTTTTGGGGGCGTTTGAGTGATTTCTATGACTTGAGAATTTATCACTTTGGCTCTCGACGGTGAATTTTTTCTATATAATGAGATAAAAACTATCTTGTAGCAAATTTAAAGGGCTTTCAGATAAGCCTAAAATAAAATTTTTATTTCGCCTGTAAGGGGTCGAAAGTATTTTTTAAAGACGTCTACCTCGGTTTTCCGTTGATTTTCGGATTTCGAGATCTCGATGATGGGAATACATAGGAACTTAATTTCTTTTGTATTTCTTATCTATATTGGTAGATATGTTCAGTAAAATTTTTGTAGAGATATTCCATGCGTTAAAAAAATTTTTTTAAAGGGGGGTTATAATTTATTAACACTGATTTTTTGGAAAAACGTCCAAAAAAAGTCTGAGATCAGAAATTTTTAAAGATATTTTGTAAATATTATTTAATATACATTACAACACTACTACAGAAATTTCAGAACAATCCGACATCGGGAAGGTAAGAAACTCAAAAAATTCAAGGGGGGTTATAATTTCTTAACACACTGTAATGGGAGTCGAACCCTCGACCAAAATTTCCTAAGTCAAGAACTTAACCACTGAACCACACCATAACTTAATTAATCTTCCAAATTTACTCGCTATATTGCTTTTATAAAATAATTAAAAATCTAACCAAAGTAAACAAAGCCTTTGTAAGTTTTGAAGTTTCACCATACCACATATCTAAAGTTAAAAAATTTTTCTTAATTTTTAAAAATAATTTTAAAAAATTCTCCAACCGTTTAAAATGGAAATGTCAAAATTGAGAAAATTGGCTTTTGCTTTTTTAGCAATTGCCCGAGCAATGAGTGTCTTTCCACAACCAGGAGGTCCATGAAGTAAAATTCCTTTTAAAAATTAAAAAAAAAATAAAAAAAATCAAATAAAAAACCTTTAGGAGGTCCATAATAAGCCGAAGGAATAGTTATATTTGAAGCTTGAATTAATAATGGAAATATAACATCGTCTTCAATTTGTGCCAATAAATCTGCACATCCACCAATATCCTCCATATCAACACCAGATTCTGGCAAAACTTTAAAAAAATAAAAAAAATTAAATTTAATAATTATTTTTTAAAAATTTTTTAAATACCGGATTTCGAGTATTGTGTTAACTCGGTCATTCCCTGCTATGCAGATAAGCTTAAGGTTTTCTAATAGCATGACTCGTTTCTCTAATCATTAGGCTTGTTCTCCCTCCAAAAGTCGAGGAATTCTCAAGCCTAGCCGAAAATAGTTCCCCGAGCGGAATATTCGGGGAGTTCCTGAGACTTCACCAAAATTTTCCCCGAGCTCCCCTCTCCTCCACCCCCTACAACGGGGAATAACCATAAAATACAATCAAAAAAGGGAATAAATCAAGCGTCACCCTCAGAGGAAATTCATAATCAGAAAAATCCCCAAAAGATCCAAGAAAAATCCCAATAAACTGATACATTACCAAATCCACACCCCTTACCCTAAAACCCCCAAAATTGCCAAAAAAACCTATTTGCGTTGCCAAACGTAATTCATGTTCATTTAATTCTTCTCTAGGTTTAAGCTTCAAAAAAGACTTTAATTCTTCCATTCTCTTTTTTGCTTCTCTTTTTCTTTCATGATTAGGGTCAAGAAGTGTAACAACTTTTAAAGTAACATAGCAAGCAATCCCTGCAGACAATAATGTTGCAACAGATTTTATTATTGCAGATAATACTTTATCACTTGGTGGATCCATCTAAAAAAATTTTTTTTGTAAATTAATGCTAATTTTAGAGGAACCAAAATTGGATCAGATTTTTAAAGTTTAGGCATGGTTTATTGGTCTGAGATTTGGAGGATTAAGAAGAATTTATGGAAACTGACCTAGAATCGATACCAAGCCTCCTTACCAAACTCCGAAACAAAGAAAATTCTGAAACCTTTACCCCACGACCCTTTTCTCACTCCATACCCGAGTCATGGTATAAAACTAAACCTAAGCCCTCAGGATAGTATGAGCCAAGTTACTCAAATTCCAATACCCGAAACCCATATTTTTTTGATCCGAACAAGATCCGATTGAAAACCCTGATCTGACTTTTTTTAAATCCGGTTGAAGAAAAAAATTTAAAAATTTATTCTAATAAAAGAATCTTTAACTTTATTTAAGACCCACCCCAATCCCTACAAAAAAAAACAATGGAACGTGGTTAAACGGGAAACTATTAATTAAAAACCCCAAAGAGAAAACTAAAAGTATTCTAAATTAAAAAAAAATAATATTTTTAATCAAAAAAAATTAAATTAACATCATTTTTATTCCATTCAACAATTAATAACAATTTTTAATTTTTTTTTCAGAACACACCACACAAAAATTTTTTTCAATTAAAAAAAATATTCTCTTATTTAACGAGCAGAAACACGCCAAACACGGATAAGATTGTCTGTATACCCAACAAACAAAGTTTGACCATCCAAAGACCAAGCAAGTGATGTACATTGTGGAGGTGATGGTTGCTTCTTTCCTGTTGTAGCTGTTGCAATATCAAGCTTCAATTCATCCACAACAGTTTTGTCTTCAAGATCCCAAATTTTAACAACTGGGCCAACAGCAGCACAAAGCCAATAACGATTTGGAGAAAATGCCAAAGCATTTATTACATCATTTCCACCCAAAGTGTAAAGATGTTTGCCTTCATTAAGATCCCAAAGCATTGCTGAACCATCCTAAAAATGAAAAAAAATTGTTTTAAAGAACTGGGTGGTGTACAAAAGTAAAAAATGGGAAAATGTATATCCCTGGATTTAATTAGGAAAATAATTCTGTGCCAGACTTTTCTGTAAGGAAAACAAAAAAATCTCTTACAAGCTGGCTGGCATGTTCCAAAAATAAAAAATCTATATTCTGCTGCATGACAGAATTAGTTGTGCTGTTAAGTTACTTACAGGTTGACAGCTCTTTGGAAATTCCCAAATATCCTGACCGAAAACTTTCAGAAATCGAACACTTTTCGAATCCCGATTTTTCGTATACTCTACTTATAAGCTCACAAAAGCAATTTATTATAAGAAAAGCGGAATACAGCAATTATAAAAACCGCTTTTTTTCAGATACCCCACTTACATATAAGCTCACAAAATAAATTTATCGTGAGAAAAGCGGAATACAGCAATTATAAAAACGGCTTTTCTCGTTAGATTTTTTAACAGACCAAAAATTAAAATTAACAAACCTTGCCTCCCGAAGCACAAAGCGACCCATCAGGCGAAACAGTAACAGAATTAATATAACCTCCATGCCCAATATGGTTCGTCTTCAATTGGCATGTTCCCAAATTCCAAACTTTAACAATTCTGTCCCATCCAGCAGAAACGATGACCGGATTGGTATTGGACGGAGAGAAACGAACAGTTGAAACCCAATCTGTATGGCACTCATTCTTAAAAAATTTTTTGAAAATTTACTAAGAAAACTCCAAAAAATACCACAATCGTGTGTTTACACTGTGCGAGAGTATTCCACAATTTAATCTTTTTATCACGCGATCCAGAAACTATTTGACGATTGTCAGCAGAAAAAGCAACGGAGAGAACATCTTTTGTATGAGAAACAAATTGGCGAGTTGTCCGGCCACTGAAAAGCAAAAGGATTTTATCTAGGCAAATTATCTAGATAATAGAGGCTAACTTAACAATAAGGATGATTCATTGACTAATCATGATTTTATTGTTTTTGATTCATTCGATGTTGATTGTGAGCATAAGAAAACCCCAAACACTTTGAGAAACATGTAAATTTTTAATTTTCCTAAAGCGTCTCATGGTGTTTGGAGTTTCCCATACTCAAAATCGAATGGATCAAAAGCAATAACAAAAAGGCAAAGACTTATAGAAAATCTCTATCAACTAGGGTGCGCTCTTTCGAGGCACGGATGGATCGATTTTACGGGACAACGGGAGTTGCGGGGAATTCGAACCATGGAGTGAACAGGCGACTTTATGGGGAGACCTTCCCCCGTTCCCCGGGGAATTCCTTTCCCTGTGGACGGCAGTCGAACTCTACTGTCAATCCAAGAGCGCTACGACCAATTGCCAAAATAAACGCATAAACAGACGTGTTAAGGTCCCAAAGACGCAAAGTTTTGTCCCACGAGCCAGAAAGTGCATATTGCCCATCAGATGACATTACAACATCAGAAACAAAATGTCCATGCCCATGGAGTGACTTTAACGGTTTGCCTGTCAAAACAGATCCAGACTCATCCAACTGCCACAAAATGATAGTTTTGTCTAAAAAATTTGGAGAATTAATTTCACAAAAATAATCTTTGAAAAGAAACCTCTCGAAGAAGAAACTAACATATTTTTGTACACTGGACTAGCCGCAATTTGAGTGACCCAACCATTGTGTCCACGCAATTGACCTTCCAATTTCATTTGTTCTCCCATGATTGCAACTAATTTTAATTTTTATGAACCTAACAAACTTAAAAAATGAAAAAAATAAAATACGATTCATTAGAGAGCGAGATTTTCAAAAAACCTTGACCTTGAGTCCTGATTTTGTTGGGTACCTTGACTAGCTTCTTGACCTTTTAAGGAAAAAACAAGTTAAAGGAAAAATCAAGGAACTCTGATAAATACCTTGATCCGGACTCTAGGTCTAGGAAAAATCAAGGTCTGGATCCAGATCCAGCTCATCTCTAGGATTTATAAACGAAAAAAATGTCAAAAATCCCCTCTTAAAGAAAATCTTTCTTTCCTTCTCTAAAGTGCATTTTTTGTGCAGTCTATAATCAATAGGACACTAGAGTCTAACATGAAAGAAGTGATTAAAAGACGAAATTCAAGCAATTTTGGAAGATTATCTCGCCTATATTTACCGAAAAGCTCAATAAATTCCGAAAAATAATGCACATTAATTATACTTCTTCAGAAATTCAGAAATACTTACAGTAATAAATATTTTTAGTACTGTAGAAATTTTTATTAAAAGAACAGTCCATTTTGGTGCTAATTTATTTTTCGCTTTTTATTTTTCGCTTTAAACTGGACTGCTCTTTCCTCTCTACATGTCAAGTAATTAGCACAGCGGGTTAACTTAGTTGACAGCGGTTGGGGTCAGTTGAGCGCGGCCGGTTGAGCCCCGCCAGTTGAGACCGGGCGGTTGAGACCGAAGACAGTTGAGCGCGGGCCGGTTGAGACCGTGCCAGTTGAGCGCGGCCAGTTGAGCGCCCCTTGTTAACTGTCCAGTTGAGCGCGAAGCGGGGAATGTTGTTCCAAAGACGGGGGATGTTGTTCAAAAACTTGGGAAGTTGTTCCAAATTACGAAGGATGTTGTTCCAAGGACGGTGGATTTTGTTCAAATGACTTGGGATGTTGTTCCAAGGACGGGGGAAGTTTTTTTGTTCCAAGGACGGGGGAAGATTTTCGCCTCCGGCGCTAAAAGTGATTTTTTTGGCCTACGGCCTTCTAAAATTCTCAAAATTTTCGCCTGGGGTGCTGAAAATAAAAATTTTTGGCGCCTTTGGCTCCAAAAATTCGGCGCAGAAGAATTTTTCCCCCTTGCCCCCCCCCTCAAAAAAATCCAGGCTACGGGCCTGGTACCAACAATGGTGGAATCCTGAGTCACGTTTTTCCAATCCTGAGTCACGTTGTTCCGAACATGAGTCAACTAGTTCCAAAGCTAGTTCCAGACATTTACTAGTTCCGTAGTTCCAGTTCCAAGCTAGTTCCAGGCATTTACTAGTTCAGTAGTTCTAGTTCCAAACTAGTTCCAGATAATCGTTAGTTCCGCAGTTCTAGTTCCGGAACTGGAACTAATTAGTTCCGGAACTGGAACTTTGCCCATCACTGATCCTGAGTCACGTTGTTCCGAACTTTAGTCAAGTTGTTCCGAACATTAGTCAAGTTGTTCCGAACATTAGTCAAGTTGTTCCGAACATGAATAAACATTTTGCCAGAAGTTTATCAGTGTAAAAATATATTGGCGCTCAACTGGCCAAATAACAAGGGGCGCTCAACCGGCCGCGCTCAACTGGCCCGGTCTCAACCGGCCCGCGCTCAACTGGCCTCGGTCTCAACTGCCCGGTCTCAACTGGCGGGGCTCAACCGGCCGGTCTCAACAGGCCCGTTCCGGTTGACAGACATAGCCAGAGAAACCCGTTTATTCGCAAAAACGACCTGTTTATTCGCGAAGACGACCCGTTTATTCGCGAAACTCTCCAAATAAACGCAAGGCTCATTCATCTATAGGTCATAACTTTGTTAGGAATTATTCAGTCAAGCTGATTTTGGTGTCATTCGACTCTGCTCGACGAGCTCTTTCGATCGAGCTATTATTTGCATAACTCTAACTCCAAAAATTTTCAACTTTTGTGGGCCTATATCTCAGCCTAAATTGGCTTTATAAACTCAAATTTGGCAATGTTCGACGTATCTCATCGAGCTGCATCGGATGATACCAAAATCTTTGCCTTTTTCTTAAAGTGCCCCCTAAAAATCTGTCACTAAAATTATTAAAATATAAACACCAGTAACTTTTGCTAAAAACCAGATAAATTAATAATTTTTTGCCAAAAGCTTCTTTAAACTATGAAAAATAAAAATAACAGACAGATTTGAAAAGTAACATATAGAACGTCCAAAGGACTCGATCAAAGTGGCACCCTCAAATTTGCATGCGAGAGTAATGCTTTATTCTAGGAGAAAATTAGAGAAGCAGAGAAAAGCGAGAGATATGGCTATGTCCGCGTTAACCCGCTGTGAATTAGAGAAATAAAAGATACTAGAGAAATGATAGAGAAATTATAAGAGAAGCAGAGAACATGTCAAAAGGGGCGCCCAAAACGGCGCGTTGCCATAACGGCGCAGAGCCATAACATGCTTCAGGATTTCTGAATCTTTCCAAATTTAGTATTAAACGATTTCCCTCATCGAGCTAAATAGTTAGATACCAAAATTGATAAGCGCCAGAAATTTTCCAGCAAGTTATGGCTTTGCCCCTTTCTGGCCGCGCGCCGTTTTGGGCTGTACCCAAGTCAAAAAGGTAATTTGAGTCTGACGGTTATTTCATTAGTCTTTTTGACTGTTTCGCAATATTAATTTAATTTTTTTCTAGATTTTATTCAAGTTTCAGTTAAACTTTTGTTAAATTATGGCAGACGTTAAACCAAATCATACTCTTTACATCAACAATTTGAACGAGAAAATTAAAAAAGAAGGTTAATTTTTTTTGGAGAATTTAGTCAAAATTAAAAAATTAAAATTCATTTTTAGAGCTTAAAAAGGCGTTGTATGCCATCTTTTCACAATTTGGGCAAATTATTGACATTTTGGCTTTTGCCCATTTAAAAATGAGAGGACAGGCACACGTTATTTTTAAGGAAATTAATTCTGCCGCAACAGCTCTTCGTTCAATGCAAGGATTTCCTTTTTACGACAAGCCTATGCGAATTCAATTTTCGCATATTGATTCTGATGTTATTGCTAAAGCTAAAGGGACTTATGTTGAAAGGTTTGTTTTTCTTTTTTTTTAATTTGGGGATTTGTAGATAAGTAATTTGGTTAGATTACGTTATGGTTTATACGGACTTTTTCCAAAATTGGTTCATTTAGGGATGTAAGGATATTTTATCTAAAGGAGGAGAATTCGTTCAGAACGCTTGGGTTGGGGTTAAGTGAATTCCTTCCCAAAAAATCCTGGTTACGGGCCTGGTCAGCGTTTAATGATGATCTATAAATGATCTATAAAGCGACGGGGAAAGCTATCGCTGGTAGCTCAGTGGTGAACACCGCACTGTCAGCGGCAGGTCCGTAGACTGGGGGTTAGGGCCCCCTTTGGCCTCCTCCCGAAAAAAACCTGGTTGCGGGCCCGTTCAGCGTTGTCGCCTATTCGAAAATTGGCCGTATTTTGATTGTCGATAAAGATATCAAATTTACCGATATGCCTTTACTTGCTTCTTCCGGCTTTTAAAAAGGGGTTCCTTTCATACCAAGTCAAAAGTCTTGCTCTTTATTAACTAATCCCCTTTTCTATTTTTCACATTTTCTCTTTTTTGTTAGACCAAAAAAGAACATTGCTGTCCCGAAAAAGAAAAAGAAAGCTGTAGAAGTTGCCACAACTAAAAAGGGTAAAGCTCCAAAGGATGGACAGCGTTCTTCTGCTCCACCAAACAAAATTCTTTTTATTACAAATTTACCTCCAGAATGCACTAAAGAAATGTTAACTGTCGTTTTTCAACCGTAAGAGAATTTTTTTGGTATTTATTCGTTATCTCACCGAATTTTCTCTTCTGTTTTCCTTTCTCCTTAGAAAATTACAGAATTATCAAAGGCAAATAATTCCATCATTTTATCATCTATGGCGATAGGTACCTTTGAGTTTCAGAACCTATGCTCCGGTGGTGGTGCGACACTTGCGGACCGAAAAGTCGGTCCGTAAAATTTTGTACGCAAATGTCGGTCTGTCTCTCCGGTACCTTTACTTCTGATCTTTTTACTCCTATAAAATTTTTTCATGGAACAGGCAGAATGCGAAAACGAAAAGAAATGGGACGAGACAACGAATACGACCAATTTTTAAACCTAAAAAACAAAAAAATTCTTTTTAAGTTTTCCCGGACTTCGCGACATTCGTCAAATTACTGACCGTACCGACATTGCCTTTGTTGAATTTAGCAATGAGAATGAAGCTACAAATGTTAAGAAGGCTTTAAACAATTTTAAGATTACTCCAACACATGCTATGCGTGTTGAATATGCCAAGAAGTGAGGAACGGTTTGAATGAATTTTTTGATGTGTGAGACATCTTTAATTGATTATTTTATGATTTTTTTTTGGAATAATTTAGTTTGACCTCAAAAATATATGTTAATGTTGATTGTGAATAATAGTGTCGTTTAGGGGTCCCTTAACTTCATTTTTTGATATCAGCTTTAGTTTGGGGGAATACAAGTGGATAAAAACCAAAGGAAAATTGGGAGAAAGATATGGGTCCCTTAACGACGCTATTACTGATTTATGGATTTCCTGACTTTATCCTTTTGATATGCAGTTGGGATTGGAGGAAGGAAAATGGGTAAAACAAGGAAAAATAGGGAGTGACGCAGAGGTCGATCGGAATTCCGATTTTTGAAAATTTGACTTGATTTCCGAGTTCCGACTTTTGAGCCATTTCTTATTTCCGACAGTTCCGATTCACGGCGCCTTTGTCATTTCCGAGCGACCTCTGGAGAGTAAAGCAAGACCAGTATCGGACCCCTAAATGACGCTATTCTACTTTATATTTTAGTCTCCCTTATGATCGAATCTTAAATCCTCCTCTATGGTCATCCATTTAATCCCCATTCTGATTTATTAAGCAATTCATTGGGCATAAGAACTCGGAATAACCCCCTAATTTTACTTGGGGAAGGGAAAACTTTATTATTTTTTATTACTGCTTTTATTTTTCAAATAAATATTTGTCTTGATTTATTTTTTAAAAAATTTTAATTTTCTCGTTTATTCGATGCATATTTTCATTTAAAAAATTACTAAATTTTTAAAAAAGATTTTAAGAATGCTTAAATTGTTAAAAACTTTGCGGATTAATTCTTTGCGTCAATTGGTTTGATTTTTAAGTTTGGTTTTCATTAAAAAATTTTTTTATAGAGCAAGTTTGCTTCAGCCAATGAAGCTTTGGAACAACGCGGGGATGTTTTAAATTTGTCAGAACTTTCTAATGGACTTCGTGTTGCTTCAAGTTTGAACAGTCGACCGACTACTACGGTTAATTTTTTTTACAAAGGGCCACATTGTTTATTGTCATCCCGAATTTTTAGCACCTCTCAATAGAGGATCTCCTATTTCCTATTGCCAGTATTTTGGGAATATTTGGATATGAGGAAAAGATAAAGTCGATATTTCTCTTCCGTATACCCTAACACCCCCAAAGCTTTACTTGACAATAACTGGACCTAAAGTCATTTTACGAGAAAATGTATATCACTCTTTAATGCAAGTCGGTGGTCCTCTATTAAATGTACCAAAAATTTATTAAATATGCAGTCACAGTAAACCTGTTAGAATTTTCTAAGAGTTTTTTAAACTGATCTTATAGTCTACCTATTTTTTTATTTTTAAGATTGGTGTTTGGATCGCTGGCGGTTCCCAACTTGAAACCAACGAAAATAATGGTGTGGCTACTGTTTTTGAAAATATTGTTCACATGGTTTAAATTCAACCCAAAAACATTTTATTTTCCTCTAATTTTAGGGCTCAACAAAGCGTACTTCTGTTGATCTTCAAAAAGATCTTTCAAAAATTGGAGCAAGTTTGTTTTCGTATACATCAAGAGAGCACTCCACATTTTTTGTTGAATGTTTTCCTAATGATGTTGAGAAAGGTTTTTATTTTTTTAGAAATAAGGGTTTTTATGGTTTAGACGTTAAAAAAGAGAACTTTAAATCTTAAGGACCCCATTTTAATTTGTTTCCTTTTTTTCCTTTTGTTGTTTTATCCTTTTTTCCTTAACGATACTTCGGGTTCTAGGGTTCATTCATTTTCCAATGGAAAAGCATCGAAAAAATATAGGGAAGTTCCTCTCCTCATCTCTCCAACGGATCCTATTTTTAAAAATTAAATTTTTTAAAGTTGTTGAAATTCTTTCTGATGTTTTGACAAATACAAATATTGAACAATCCAAATTAGAACAACAGAGAGCCGATGCTCTCAAACGTTTAGATTCTTATGAAGATGAAAATCGACAAGGAGTTGTTATGGATTAGTAAGCAGAAAAATTTTTACAAAAAATTTCAAAAAAATTTTTTTAGTCTTCATATGACCGCTTTTCAAGGAACTACAATGGCTCATTCTCCTCTTGGAAACTCCAAAGCTTTAGAGTAATAATTGAAAAAAATTTTTTCAATATTTTATTTTTTAGGTCATTGGATGTGAAGACTTTGGCTGATTTCAAGGCTGATCTTTGCAAGCCCGTTCGAATGGTTTTGTCTTGTGCTGGTGGGGGATTTAATCATGATACTCTTCACAGAATTGCCGAAAAACATTTTGGGCATCTTAGCAATAGGTTCCTTTTATTTTTACAATTTGTCCGCAACAATTGTCCGCAAACTTTTTTTGCGGACAAAAATTTTTTGCAGAAATCTTTTCTAATTTAAATTTAAAACACAGTTATGACCGCAAAGTTCCTTCTGGATTTTTACCAACAAGCCGTTCTGGATTAGATTATATCCCAGCACCTCGCATTCGCTTTACCGGTTCAGAATTTCTTTATCGTGATGATAGTTATCCTTATATGTTTGGCGCTTTGGCTGTTGAAGGAGTATCTAGAGGACATATGGATTATTTACCTTTGGAGGTTTTTTTTTAAATTTTTTTGTAAAAACTCTAATTTTAATTTTTAAAAAGGTTGCCAAAACTTTCTTTGGACAGTGGGACAAAACTTATGCGGCTTCGTTAAACGCCCCTTCATTAATTATTCAAAAAGCGGCGGCAGAAGAGGAAATGTTGGGATTTGAGGCTTTTAATATTTCTTACAATAATACTGGGTATTTTTTTAAATTTTTGGTTACAACCAAAGATAGACCCGATTTCCTTCCCTTCTCGGGGCACTCCCCCTTTTTCCATTTATTCCACCTGTTAAACAGGAATTATAGCGGACTTGACTAACTGGCCAGGCATCGAACCTGAGTCACCCGATAATTTGCTGAATATTTAAAAAATTTTCGTATCCGTCCAATTTCTTCTCTTCACACCCAAAATAGTCGGGATGTTGTTTTCTCGCCCTAAAGAGGCCTTCGGAATTCATTTTTTTGTTTTCTAGCCCCATAATAGACTCCAAAAAATTACAAATATTAAATCAGTTAATTTTTTAGACTTTTCGGCGTTTATTTTGTCTTTCATGGAGAATTAATTGAACCTTGTTGTAATGCAATGAGTACATTGTTGCATCCTTTTAGATACATTTCAACAAGTATAACTGATGAAGAAACTGAAAGGGCAAAGAATGCGTTAAAAACAAATTTATTTTCAAATTTGGAGACAAACACCCAAATTGCTAATTATATTGCTACTGAGGTTTTTTCATAATTTTAAACTTTAAAAAATTATTTTGGACAGGGAAGGGTTCCTGTCAAAAAATGATTTTGGGAAGATCCTCTATAAAATTTTTTGGACTAGGAAGGGACCCGTAGGGGTGTTCCGCCTATTACTCTGGGGTTTTTTTTTAATTTTAAATTTTTTGAAAAATTATTTTGGACTGGGAAGAGTTCCTGGACCTTCCCCAAATCCAAAAAAATTTGGGATGACCTCATAAAAATTTTTTTGGTTCGTAAGAGTTGTTGGGCTTTCAATGAATTCAAAAAAATGATTTTTTGGGATGCCCCTTAAAAAATAAAATTTTGTTTTTTCCAGGTGTTGAGTACCGGAAAGATAACTCCTCTATCCGAACTTGAACGCAAAATTTCGTTTATTAGTGCGGATACTGTGCAAGCTGCAATGATGGACCATGTTTATGACCGGGAAATTGCATGCGCGGGAACTGGTATTTTTTTCAAAAAATTAAAAAAAAAATTATTTTTTAAAGGCAAAGTAGAGGCATGGCCAATATATCAAGAAATGCGTGCTTCGATGAGTTGGTGGCGTTTATAGGAAGACAAAATAAAAAATTAGAGAAGAAGATTGTTGTATAGGAATATTTTTTTGGATTATTATTATTTTAGGGATGTTTGGAAAAAAATTTGATAAAACTTGGACTTTTTATCCAATTTTTAAGGAATTCGTATTGAAAAATTTTTTTCTATATTTCCTAAGAATAGGAAAAAAACAAGAAAAAATTTTTTTGATTCTTATATTTTAGGAGAATTTGGGGAGGAACTGATAATAAACTTTTGATTTTTAATACAATCTTTAAAGAAACTTTAAATTTTCCAAAAATCTGATTGAAAAATTTTTGTATTTTTTAAAGAAAATACTTTTAAAAAGTGAAGGAGGAATACTAATTTACTACGTCTGCTTACTTAAAGAAAAGTGGGCCTTTTATTAAATTTTTATTTAAAGATAATGACACTTTAAAATTTGTAGGAAAATTAAGGCGAAAAATTTTCAATTAAAAAGTAATTGATTATAAAATTTTGAGCATTGAAGAATTCCTGTTCTACACATTTCTGTTGTTCTAACAACTGACATTCGATCAGCTCTTTCAAAATTTGATCTAACTAACTCATAATATTGCCCGTCACTTAATACAATTGAATGCAATTTTGGGCATTTCATTCGAAGAACATCGATGAATTTGCTTTAAATAAAAGGAAATTCTGATTTTTATTACAACAAATTCTGATTCTTAAAAATCAGAATTTGTTTAATCAGAATTCTGATTTTGCATAAGAAGTTTTTATTTTTACTAGACCGGAAATTCTGATTTCTAACAGAACAGAAATTCTGCTAAATCAGAGTTCTGATTTATATGGATCGGAAATTCTGATTTTTTAATTCTGATTTTTAGATTTTTAAAAATTTCAGTTATGTCAGAAATTCTGATTTTTATTGTATCAGAAATTCTGCTGAGTTCTGATTTCTGTTTCCAGTCAGACCAGAATTGAGTTTTTGACCAGAATTTTATTAATTCTGATTTGTTAGAATTTTCAAAAATCAGAATTTTATCTTCAAAATTAAAAAAATTCCACTACCTCGATTTATCAGAAAATCTTAAAGTCCCATCATCCCAGCGAATTTCTAGGCGGGTTAGTGAAGGGCAGTTTTGAGCTATACAGTCAATAAACTTAAAAAAATTAATTTTTAATAATTAAAAAAAATTTTTTTACCTGGTCAATGTGTATTTTTGCTGTTACCTAGAAAAAAATAAAAAAAAATAAATTTTAAATTTCTGAAAAAATTTTTTTTAAAAATTTTTCAGAATTTTCTTAAAAATTTTTTTGAAATTTTTTTACCAGAATTTTAAATATTTTCGACTTTCAGAATTTTTTTTTACAATTTTTTTACAATTTTTTCAATACCTTTGGACAACAATCTTCGGCTACCCCCATAACCAACACACAAACATTGTTTAATCGGGTAATTGAATTCATCCAAAAATATTCCAGTAATTTACTTTAAAAAATAATTTATTTTTAATTTTCCCCCTTTAAAAATTACCCATGCCCTCCCAAATTTAAAGCCTTTAATTGATGCCCAAAACGAGCAACTAAATCAGTCAAAGCAAATTCTGAGAGAGAATCACAAGTATCTAATGACAAATATTCAATATTGTTTATTGTGGTTGACTCCATAAATCTGTCGAGAACTTGGTCGGTAAAATTTTCTAGCCAGCTAGCGTCTAACCCTTAAAATAATCAGAATTTATTTATAGAAAATCAGAATTATTGCAAATATCAGAATTTATTTTAGGAGGTCAGAACTTTTTTAAGAAACCAGAATTTTATTTTAAGAAAATCAGAATTTCGGTTTGAAAAATCAGAATTTATTTTCACAAGACCAGAATTTTGTTTTTAAGAAACCAGAAAGAACATTTTTTAGAAATCAGAATTTTATTTTTATAAATCAGAATTTGTATTCTTAAAAAATCAGAACTAGTGTAAATATCATAATTTATTTTGAGAGGTCAGAATTTTTTTTAAGAACCAGAATTTTATTTATAGAAAATCAGAATTTATAAATCAGAATTTTGCTTGAAAAATCAGAATTATCTTTTTAAAAGATAAGAATTTTAAATCAGAATTAATTTCCAAAAAATCGGAAATAATTTTTAAAAACCAGAACATTTTTTAGAAAATCAGAATTTATTTTTAAAAATAAAATCAGAATTTTTTAAAACCAGAATTTTAAAAATCAGAAAATTACTTTAAAAAATCAGAATTTTTTCTAAAAAATCAGAAATAATTTTTAAAAATCAGAACTTAATTTTATAAAATCAGAATTCTGATTTAAAAAAACAGAATTTTTTCTAAAAATCAGAATTTCTTACAACGTAAATGCGGTAGTCTAGTTAACAAAGAAATAAGCGTTTCTGCACTTAATTCAGTTGCTCTAATATCCAATTCTTCTATGCGCGTTTTTTCCCATTCTAATTGCTGGATTATACTGTCATCTAATGCTAAATTAAAATTAATTATTTAATTAAAAAATTAAAAAACTTGTATAAGCCAAAAGGAGTGTTGTAAGCCTTTTACATCTTTGAAGAACTAAACGAAGACAAGATCCTTAAAAATTTTAAAATTTAATTTTATTCTAATAGAAAGGCAAAAGGGGTATTTATGGGTATTTGTGTAGTTTACACCCCATAAGCCCCGCCCCTTTGTTCTTTTCTTCAAAAAATCTTATTAAAATATTGACCCAAACGGTCATTTTATAGGAGATAGATCGAAAGAAAAAATCTGAAAGAAAAATAGGCGGGGCTTATGGGGTGTAAACTACACAAGTACCCTATTTGTTTTATTCGTTCCCCGGTTACCCCGAATTTTAAATTTTTGGGGTGTTGGAATGCCTCGAAAAGATGCAGAATTAGGTCAAAAAGGGGGTCAGAATTTTATTTTTAAACCCCAAAAATTTACAAAAAAATTTTTTACCAGTAACTTTAGTACAATAGTTAATACATAAACATTGTAAACGGGCACAATTTGAAGATAGAGCGTCTACATGGTCATCGGTAATAAAAGGAACCTTGGGAAAAAAATAAAAAAAATTTTTTAGTAATTTGATAAACACTTACTCCCCACAGATTGACCTGAAAAAAAAAATAAAAGATAAAAATAATTTCATTGGAAGCCCAAATTTAGGCACTGGAAAGTTAAGATCCAGGATTTTCAGAGTTTTGGGCTCCCGCGAAATTTTAGACTCCAAGTAAAACAACATAATAGTGCGCCCTTAGATTTTGGGCGGCGAATTTTGAGGACTTTCCAGTGCCCAGAGGTGGGTCGGAACAGACCGAGGTGTTGGAAATCGGAAATTTTTCCAAAATTTCGGAAATTGTAATTCCGACCCTTCTCCGCCAGTGCCTAAATTTCCTACAAATTTCTTTAAAAATAAACTAACCACAGTTAAATTAGGCAAATATTGCTTCAATTTGAATACATTAACCTTTAAATTTCTTTAAATTTATTTTCATTCCATTTAATTCTTACCGTTTCATAAACCTCTTCTTCCTCATCCTCCACTTTTTCGTAGGTTCCTTTATAATTTAAAAAATATTTTTAAATGAAAAAAAAATTTAAAAAATAAACCAATAATATGCAGAATTTCAACGCTCGAAATGAATGTGTAAACTTTCCGCAAAAAACCTTTAAAAAATAAATTATTAGTCAAAAGTGTCAAGTTATCGGTAAAATGGGTTGTTCCATCTCCCGCCTTCCTATTTGCTTAAAATACCAGTTTTGAGTGATTCTGTCGATACCAGCGGCACACCAAGCTTTTTTAGAATTCCTGGGGGGTTTGTCCTGAACTCCAAAATCCTGTTCATTTCAATAAATCAAGTTCAGTATCTACGCCCAAGCCCTGCCCTCCTCATAAATCAACTCCTTCCCCCACTCCCACTCGAGACCAAAAGAAAAAACTCTCGAAAATCGAAATAGTTCCCGCTTTGGGCCCCGAATCCAGCTCATCTCATTAGACCAAATTCAACGTCTACAACATAGTTTAACCCAATAAATTTCCCATGCCTTAATCCTACGATCCTGGTCATGTCAATTAAATTCCCAGCGTCTAAGCCAAGTCTCCAACCCCAACCCTCCCCTCTCAAAAAATTTTTTTAAAAAAACCTTCAAGAAAAATATTTTCACTTAAACAAATAGTCAAGGAACGCAATCTACTGGGAAATGATTGGAGATCATTAAAATCATGGAGTTGCATTGCTGTAGAAAAGTCGAGAGTTAAATATTGAAGTTTTGGACAGCGATTGGAAAATTCGTGAAGAATCTTGAAAAATTTAAAAAAATTTTTCAAAAAAAATCAAACAAACATTTGGGGTAATTAAATCTGTTGCTAATTCACAAGAACGAAGCTCAGTGAAACGTATAGGTATTAATTGAGTAAAATGTTCTAGATTGGTTACCTAAAAATTTTTCTGAAAATTTTTAAAAAATTTTTTGAAAATTTTTAAAAAATTTTTCGAAATTTTCCTTTGAAATTTTTTTTGAAATTTAAAAAATTTTTTGAAAGTTTTTTTACTTGAATTCCTCCATGGGCAACTCTATAAAAAATTTAAAAATTATTTTTTTGATAATTTTTTCTAAAAATTTTCTCCCTAAACATTAAAAGCCTACAACTACAGAGAACCAAAAATTTGATTCAAGGAAAAACCCCACCTCCCCAAATTTTTTATTTTTCAAAGGGACTCTCGCCCTTCAATTTTAATGGACCTTAAACTAATTAGGACCTTTCACTCCCTCAAAAATTTTTTTAAGAAACCTAAAAGATATATTTGTCCACAATCCCGGACTTTCTATAATTGCCTTCCATCGTCTACAAACTCTGCTTGCATTGAGCATTTGTTTTGTTGGTAGATATGAAAAGATTAAATGAAGAACTCGATCCGGCAATTTGTCGATGCACTGAAAAAAAACTTTTTTTATTTTGAAAATTTTGAGGCAGGACACGCAAAATACCCAAAACACTCGGAATAAAAATTCACAATTTCTATCACATCAGGAATTGTGTGCTCCTATACTCCAAAATATCAAAATCCTTCAGTTATCCCATTTACCAAATTTCAAACTCTTAGTTATCCCACAGGACTATCAATGGAATAAACGAAGGATTTGATATTATATCGGGTTCTCCCACAGGACTATCAATAAGATGAGGGATTATGGTAGCAAATACCCATCTTCCTGAATATCACAACCTCTCGATCATTCCCTAGGATATCAAAATCTCTCAGTTATTCTACTCTCACACATCACAATCCTTTAGTTATCCCCTTTCAGAATATCACAACATCTCAGTCATCCCCTAGGATATCCCAGAAAGGGTCAAAAAGCTTCTCAAAATTAAAATAACTTCTTCAGGAATAATATCAACAGCCCCCGCCCTTATCCAACCACCACCACCACTAGCAACATAACCTCCTCCTCCCTCATTTGTTGCTGTATTTGTAGTTGTCCAATTCTCATTCTCTCCATTCTCCAAAATTACATTCCCTGCTCCACCACCTCCTCTTCCTTTCCTTTTTTGTATTCGACTACGAATTTCATCAGATTCCGCATTTGATAATCTAACAGTTAATCTTTTACTCATTTCAAATAAATCTTGTGTTGATATAGCCATTTTTCTTGGTCTTTTTATAGAAGCGTTTTTTTTGGTAGAAGGCAAAAAAAATTTTTTTTGGAGAAAAATGAATAGAAAAAAAATTTAAAAACAAGAAAACAAAGATTTTTTAAATGTTTTGAGTTAAAAGAGAGTGATTGAATGCCACACAACTGTTGTTTAAAAGAATTAAAGAATTTTTGAAAGGCGAAAGGGTAAGGATGAGAGGGGGAGAAATAATAAATTTCTACATATTTTATTGTTAATCGATCGAGAATGAACGGGAGTTTAGAAAATTTTAGAGGAGGAAAAATAAGAATGTAAAGGAATTTAAAAAGAAAACAAAATTTTGTTGAAAATAAGCAATTTTAAGTTAAAAATAAAATTAAAGACCACAGGCGTACTCGAACCTATAACCCACTCCACTACATACAGAAACGCTAACCATTCGACCACCAAGCAGCTTAATTAAACTTTTAATTTTCATCGCTACATTTTAGCTCCTTTACCTCTCCTTTCCCCTAGAAGCTTGAACCCTAACCTCCTCATAGTCTTCCCTAGGAAATTTCAACTCAAAAATTTTTTAAATTAAAATACCAACTAATTGTTCATTTTTCTCCTTTTCATTGTCCAATATAACCGTATTTTTTGATTTTATACTAGGCAATCGCGGCTTTTTAATTAAAGATTTTCGCGTTGTTGCACGTCTAAGGCAAATATTGTCTTGTTTAATACAATTGTGTTGGGGGACTTTTTCTTTTAATTTTTGATTTTTGTAGTCAGAAAGTGATAAAACGAACATCTTAACCATTTAAACACTACAACAAGATTAGATAGATTTATTGAAAGGTTTTGAGTTATCCCCCTCCTCCTCCTGCTCATTATACCCCCAGACATTCCCAAACCCTTAAAAGTTATCCCATTCTAGAGCTTAAGTTACTATGAGTAGGTTATCGTCTCCGAACCGAGCCGAAGATCTGAGGATTTTTCCGAAGCCTTTCCAAGACTGAAGATCCTAACTGGAAGGATAACACATAGATCTCGACAAGAGAATAAAAATAGAAAAGATGATAGATTTGCTAGTTTTGCAAATATTAGTAAACAATTGTAAGGTGATTGACGGTAAACAATAAAAGAATACCTATTTTTAAAACTTGAATACTTAAAAATAAAAATTAGAGAAAATACTCTCCTATTTTTATACACTATTTCTCTTTTCTCTGATTCGCGCAAACTACAAGTGAACGATAGAAAGGCGTTCTTTTTGCTTTTGAACTCTCAAGGAGTTTAGAAAAAAATAACAAAAATAACTTTTAGGATGACTCCTACAAATTGTCCTGCCCCACAAAATTTTTCAGAAAAAATAAAAAACTTACCGGCATCCTAGAAAGCAAAAAGGCCAATTGGAACCTTCCCAACGCTCGAATTTTTGCAATAATCCGGCCCCTCTTTCGCCTCCATTCTCGACTCTCCCTAAAGTGGCGTTTTGTGACTGGTATGAAATTGAACTGAAAATTTGTTTAAATAAAATTTAAAACCGGTCCGTTATGCTACGCTTACATAAAAAACGCAAGACGCCGGCGGAAGACGCTCGGCGTCAAGACGCCGGCGGAAGACGCAGTTTCGTGCTTACATAAAATCGGCGTCTTCCGCTAAGCGGGAAGACGCAAAGCGTCAAAACGCTAGTTTTATGTAAGCACAAAACTGCGTCTTCCGCCGGCGTCTTGACGCCTAGCGTCTTCCGCAAAAAGCTGCGTTTTTTATGTAAGCACTAATTGCGTACTAAATTTGTAACAAATATTTTATTGAAATTAAATTGAACAAAAAATATTAAATCATTTTATCCTGCCATGATACCGATCCAACTTCATGGTAAAATATTCTAATTAGAGGTCGGCGCGGGACGGGATCCCGACGGGATTTTCCGGGATCCCGTAATCCCGGATTTTTGTGATTGTCGGGATCATTCGGGATCCGGGATTTTTTCGGGATTTATCCCTCGGGATCACGTCACGGCATCGGTTAAGAAAAAAATCCCGACTCGGGATCCCGGACTTTTTTTTTAATTTTCGGGATTTTCGGAAGACTTTTGCTTAAGGATCTTTAAATTTTTCAAAATTTTCGCCTGCGGCGCTGAAAAAGGAAGAAATCTAGTTACTTGGCCTCCGAATTTCTCAAAGCTGAAAAGGAAGACTTATGTGTATATCGGAGAATTTGAATTGAGTTAAGTGGATTTAGTGATATCCGGATATTTCAAGGGATCCAAGGAACTAGAACTAACTTGGAACAAGTTCCCGGGCCCGAATATAGGTCCTATAAAATAGAAAAACCATAGGGGGGACCAAGCTGAATTTTTCACACATATGAGACATCTCAAAAATATCGAAAAAAGCAATCCCGGAGAATCGTGGTCCCTGCGAAAAAAAAAGTTTAAAAATAAGAAAAAGGGTTTTTCTAGGGTAAAAAAATATGCTGAGTACGAATCTGAACTCAAATTTTGAAAAAGTCGGATCCCGAACCCGAATATTGCCGAAAAAAAATAATATTTTTTGCAAAAGGTATACCTTTTTCAAAATCAATTTTAACCCATAAAATTTAACTTTAAAAATATAAAATTTATATTGATCGATAGAGAATGAATTGAATTTTCAAAATCTTTTTAAATTTTGAAAATCGGATTAGAATTGGCCGAGAAATGATCAAGACGCTAAAAGTTGCCGCAAAAAATTCAAACATGTTTGAATTAAAAAAAGAGACGCCGGCGTCAAGACGCCGGCGGAAGACGCAGTTTATGTAAGCACTCAAAAAAAGCGGCAAGACGCCGGCGTCTTGACGCCGGCGGAAGACGCGAGTTATGTAAGCACGCAAAAAAAGCGTCAAGACGCCGGCGTCTTGACGCCGGCGGAAGACGCAGTTTATGTAAGCACTCAAAAAAAGCGTCAAGACGCCGGCGTCTTTTACTCTCCTCATTTCCCATTATCTTTTCTGCCGCAAGACGCGCGCGTTTTTTATGTAAGCGTAGCATTAGGGCCACCGTTCTCTGAACATTATGAGACCAATTTTGGCACCGAATTTTAATTACCCCTCATTATATTGCCTCATAATGGTCAGAGAACGGCGACCATCATAAACGGTACGAGTGCCTAAAAACCTACATCCAATTCAGTCTTTGGTGTCTAAAAATAAAAAATATTTTTAAAAAATTTAGAAGAAAAAACCTTTCCTCCTAATCGACATCTCACAGCTTCAATCATCTTTTTTTATTCTTTAAATGAAACAGGAAATATATATAAACTTTCAATTGGATATTTTATATACTTGAATAAGTGACAAATTACGCAGATGTGTTTGATTGAAAAACTAAAAAAAGAGAAAGGAAAACTTTTCGGACACTATTAAAAACGGATACGCCAAGTAGGCGTGCGCCCAAGTAGGCGCGAGGTGCAAAGTGGGCGCAAAGTCATAACTTGCTTCAAAATTTCTGAATCTTATCAAATTTAGTATTAAACGATTCCTCTCATCGAGCTAAAGAGATTGGTACCAAAATTGTTAAGGTCCAAAAATTTTCCAGCTAGTTATGGCTGAAAATGTTCCTTCCTTACTTATGTGCCCACTTGGCCGCGCGCCTACTTGGGCGTGTCCCCTTAAAAATATATCAAAGAATGAATGGCCAGTAAAAAATTTTTTTTCTCGTTTTCCAATAGAGTCCGAAAATGAGGAAAAGTATCAGGAAAGGAGTGCTGATATTTTTAAGATTATACAATCCTCGTCAAGGTATAATTTATAAAAGATCGCCCAAAGATGACAACTGACAAAAAATGAAGAGAAACGGACATTAGATTGAAATATTTGTCGAATATAAAATATCTGATAGATTAAACTTTAGTTTTTTTTAAAGGAAAGAGGGAAGGAAGAAAATTCTTGAACAAAATTAATTTACAAAAATATTAAAAAAAATTTTTTGTTGACTAAATAAATCTTAAAAAAAGGTAGAAAAAAATATCAAAATATTTATTTAACAGTAAAAAAACAACCATAACCCAAAAAAAAATTTTTCATAATTGAAAAACTCCATTAGATTCAAACACTTAACAACGGTGTCGATTCGCATGGTTTTCAAAATATCGCATAGCACAGCTCATTATCCCCCCTGAACCTAAAATTTAAAAATATTAAAAAATTTAAATTTTTGTTCACTTTACATTTGCCAACAACTCTCCACATGCAGAGAACACCTGGATCATCAACAGATTCGACCGCCTCAAAACATGCTGTGAAAAGTTTTTGCAGAATTTCTCTCTTGTGTGTGTAATTATTTCTCGACTGAAAAAGTTGAAAAATATATTTTATCTGTAATCTCCAAAAAAAACTTCTTCAAGATCAATATTATTTGTCCAACCAGGTTCGTTAACTGGCCAAGCAGTTTCACTTAACTTCTAAATTCAATAACCAAATATATGGAAATGCCCAAGTAGGCGCGCGGCCAGGACGGCGCAAAGCCACAACTTGTGGGGAAAATTTCTGGCCCTTATCAATTTTGGTACCAGTCTCTTTAGCTTAATGTGAGGAATCGTTTAATGCTAAATTCGGTAAAATTTGGAAAGCTTGAAGCAAGTTATGGCTTTGCGCCGTTGTGGCCATGCGCCTACTTGGGCTGTACCCCCAAATCAAGTATCAAAGCTAGTAAAACCTACTTTTTTGAGTTTATCAGCACAGGGTTCATCGGAAGTGCCAACAAGACACCTATACAACGCTGAAAGACAATTAGACTAATATTTGTCAAAATTTAAAAATCACTAACGTTCGAAACAATTGTCAAAAAAGAATACTTCTGAATGGACGAAGTGCTTCTCATGCCCATCCATCGATTTTAAATTGTTGATTATACTCTTGTAATCAGCAAGAACTTCAGCTTTCGACTTTAATTTTAAAATAGTAATTCTTGGAAAAGGAAGGGACAGAATCCACTTAAGGAACCAAAAATGTTTGAATAGAGAGTCAAGTGTATTATAAAGAAAATACTCACACTGCTTAAATAAATGATACATTTCTGTTGGAATTTGATCATAAAAAGATCGAATAATTTAGATATCCGAATATCTTTCCATTTTAAGTTAAATGGGATAAAATGGATTGAATCGGCTAATAGCTCTTTAGGCAAAAATTTTTTGTTTTCCATTTAAGTATTTGCGCATTTAACTAAAAATAGTTGTCTAGTGGTTATTCCCACCATTGTTTCTAAGGATAGACAATTGAAGATAGGCAATGAAGAACGGGAAAATAAAATCTCCAACTGATGGGGTCTTACAAGCGTGAATTTTTATTAAAATCTCATTTTTTGATCTCAATTTTAAATGGTGATTTTTAGACTCAGCGGATTTTAAATCTTTGAAAAATGATTTTAGCTTGTTGAAGCGCTAATCTAGCCCATTATGCAATATTTTAAAAAATTCAAGAGTATGTAAAAATGGAGAAATTTCTTTTTTAAACGGATCGGAATATGTTCCAGGCTCTGATAAAAAAATATCAAAAAATTTTATAGAAATATGTAAGTCAACTACTATATAATTTTTTAAAAACGTTTAATTGTGTCAAATTTTGCTTTTCTTTAATTACAAAAATAACGATTTAATCGCACAAAAATTTATTGAATTTATCAACTTCCACTGGCCATTCTTTGAAGATGCCAGCCTTGATAATGAACATCGTTAGTTGTGTAAGGGCTCATTCTGCTTTCACCGTTCCATTTAAAGATTGTTCGTGTATACCTTTAATTAAGTCAGAATTAATTTTTAAAAATAAAATATCCACCATCCAGGCCAATCCTGTGGGGCAAAGCGTCCCAAAGTGCCGTGTATAATGCGAGTGCCACTATGAAAATTTTGGGCATATGGCCTCAATTCATCTGGATAATGAAATGTTTGTCGTTTACTCAAATGGCGAGAGAAGACTTGAGGAAAGGAGATGAGGAAGCAAAGAGTGACTTTAAGAAATAATTGAAAACAAATTTTATATTAAATACTCCAATAGAAGCCCAATCTCTAATAGAAGCCCAGTCTCTAAAAGAAGCCCAGTCTCTAAAAGAAGCCCAGTCTCTAATAGAAGCCCATCTCTAATAGAAGCCCCCTTCCCCTAATATAAGCCCACCCGCGGAGACCAATTAGAACTATATGGCCAGTCTCCAATAAGAGCCTATATTTAATATAAGCCCAGTCAAAGAAGCATGTTGAATAATAAAAGCCCAGAGCTTAGAGTATTCACGGTAATTTTCAAATTAACTTACAAAATAAATAAAAATATTTCTTCATTTTAAAATAAAAATAAATAAAGATGATCGTTTAACAACGAGAAAAATTTGCGCAAAAAAAGGGAAAATGAGAACTATTTATAAGATGAAGCAAGTATTTATTGTCTATTTGATTAAAGAGAAGAAAATTAGAGAAAATACAGCT